GGGGAACAGGGAGGCCTGATCAGGGACCCTCTGCCCACATTTGGGTGGCACCTGAAAGCCGCGTATCTCACATGCGTGGCTTTTACGAGCCACCCCTTTCTCTTCGCGGCTTAGCTTTTCTGTTACGGAAAGGGTGGGATGCCGCATCGGGGCAGCGCGTGGCGCGGAGTGCTGCTGCTGGTGGGTGACACTTGCCGCACGCGAGCTAGCTCGGCAGGAATACAAGATGCAGACAGCGCTTTTCTGATCCCTGTCGTGGACCTTACTTGAGGACCAGGGCATCTGTATCACTGAAAAAGGAGAGCGTACACCCGGGGGAGGGGGTGCAGTTTGCATCACGTATGCCACAAGTGGCATGGGCAGTTTCTGTGTGTGGCACACCACGGTCAGGAAAGAGACGGGCAGCACAGTGGCGGATAAGACAGGAGGCAGAGCAGCAGATTGGATAAGGAGCAGAAAGGAGAGCAGCAGGTCAGACAGGGAGCACAAGGAAGCAGAAGGCAGAGCAGAGGAATAGGATCGGGCAGAGGAATAGGATCAGAGTAGCACTTGGTGAGGGTGCAGGGCTAATTTGTGGCACACCTGCCCAAAAGTTTGGCCTCCACTGACTAGACAAGCCTTTAGAGACTGATCCTGCTAAGTGTGTAGCATCTGCAACTCCTGTTACCTGAATTGAAAGTAGTGAGCACCCCATGGGGATATGTTAAGCACGCAGGCATCACCAAGCCCAAGGATGGGTAGGCTAACAGTTCAGTTGGCACTGTTGCTACATCTTAAAGATTTTCGCTAGTGTACATTGTTAGACAATAAGTTCTGGAAGATCATTTGAATTTTTCTCAGATTTTTAATTGCTTGTTGATCCCAGGATTGTCCATTTCATTGTGGCCCACAGTCCTTAACCTCCCTGCAAATGACTAAAGTCTTGTTAATTTCAACATACTTCAGTTTAGGGAAAGCTGTGAGCAGCAGCTGAGGATCTGAAACAATTGGCAGATACATGGAGACAACGCTAGACACTTCTGTTTAAATGATATTCTGTAAAAATTAATAGCCTGGGTCCCCACCCATATACCAAAAAAAGTTCTGTTTTCACTGGATTCTGGAAAGGAAACGTGAAGTTGTTGTGAATTCTGCGAAGATTACTTTGCAATTATTAAGTAAAGGCTCTATTACAGTTTTAAACCTATTTTAATGCAACTATACTAGAATAAAATATAGGTTGAAATATACATTTAGAAAAGCATAACATTGCTGCATTCAGGCTATTATACACACAGTTTACCCTTGTCGTTCTTGGGCATTATTATTAATATGTATTACCATTGCTTTTAGGGACCACCTGGGAATAGGGGCTTCATGGTGGTAGGCAATGGCCCCAAAGCATTTGCAGTCTAAATCTTCAAGACAGACAAAGGATTAGGGAGGAGGAATATAATATACAAAGGAAGAGATGGCCTGGGAATATGATATTTTTTTTCTTTGTCTTTGGACGGGGTGAGAGTTTTGGAAAGGAGTTACTAGAATAAAAGCACAGCACATGCATCCTGATGCCTGAGTAGGTGTCATAGACCTGCTTTCAAACCCACTGCTTCTGTTAACAAACAGGTTCCAAATCCTCTTTCAGATTTCTTTGAGTGGTACTTTATATCCTTATGATTTTCCTGGGCAAGGGGACTCTGCACAGATGCAGTAATCTTAGCTATGTGGATTCAGATTCGGGGTCGGGTGTTACAATTTAATTTGGGGTCAACAGACCCCAACAGACATATGTGTAGGGTAACTGCAGTTTTTAGGCATCTTTTAGTTTTGCTCGGATTAACTGCACTGTTAAAGCATACGTAAGTACGGAAGAAACATGTTAATGTTGACTATATCATACAACCTTGGGCTACAAATGTGTAGCATATTAATGACTTTATTTGCTCTGCTTTTTGCTAATACGGTTGTTTTAAGTTCTGAAGACTAGTCGGTCTCAAATTTGAGAAGCAGTTTTAGCAACATTGTGCTTCTCTGCAAAGGTGCCACAGCAGTACTTGTAACAGTGTTTGGAAATTGCTATTTTTTTAGTACAGATGGTATTTAAAAGGAGCCTTGTAAGACTCAGCAGCAGCAGCAAAAAAAAATGTATTTTCTATTACACTCAAATCCCATGAAGTCAGGAAGGCCAAAGTGCAATTGGAGTTGCAGCTAGTAAGGGATATGAAGGGTAATAAGAAAGGTTTCTACAAGTTTGTCAGTAACAAGAGGAGGATATGGGAAAGTGTTGGATCCCTTACTGAATAGGGGAAGCAACTGAGTGACAGGTGATACAGAAAAGACTCAAGTGCTCAATGCCTTTTTCACCTCAGTCTTCACAGGCAAGGTCAGCTCCCAGACTACTGCACTGGGCAGCATAGTTTGGGGAGGAGGTGAGCAACCAACAGTGGTGAAAGAGCAGGTTAGGGACTACTAGAAAAGCTTGATGTATACAAGTCCATGAGGCCAGGTGAGATGTACCTGAGGGTGTTGAGGGAGTTGGCTCATGTGATTGCAGAACTGCTGGCCATCATCTTTGAAAACTCATGGTGATTGGGAGACATCCTGGTTGATTGGAAAAAGGCAAACATATAGTACCCAAGTTTAAGAAAGGGGAAAAAGAGCATACAGGGAACTACAGACCAGTCAGTCTCACCTCAGTCCCTAGAAAAATCATGAAGCAGATCCATAAGGAATCAAGCACTTGGAGGAGAAGGTGATTGATTAGCAGGGATCCTGATTTTCTATAATAAACAAAAAATCCAAAATATTCTGATTAAAGAAAAAAAAGTCTCACAATCCACATTTTTCGGTGATTAAAATGAAATGCCACTATATATATATTATATAGTGGGGCTTTAACAAAAAAACCCCAAATCTACATTTTTCTGTGATTAAAACGAAATGCTACTAATATATATATTGGTGGTGTTCCATTTTAATCATGGAAAAATGTGGATTTGGAGGTTTGTTTGTTTTTTAATCCAAAATGTTCTGATTTATCAGAGAAAGCCAGGATCCCTGGTGACTAGGAACAGTCAGCATGGATTCACCAAGGGCATGTCATGCCTGACCAACCTGATTGCCTTCTATGATGAGATGATTGGCTCTGTGGACGTGGAGAGACCAGTGGATGTGGTGTACCTTGATTTTAGCAAGGCTTTTGATACGGACTCCCACAACATTATTATAGGGAAGCTAAGGAAGTATGAGCTGGATGAATGGATTGTAAGGTGGATAGAAAACTGACTGAAGCATCTGGCTCAGAGGGTACTAATCAATGGCTTGATGTCTAGTTGGCAGGGGGCATCAGATGGAGTGCCCCAGGGTTCAGTCCTGTGGCTGGTTTTGTTCAATATGTTCATCAACAGCCTCGAAGATGGCATAGAGTGCACCCATAGCAAGTCTGCAGGTGACACCAAGCTGAGGGTGTAGTAGATGCACTGGAGGGTAAGGCTACGATTCAGGGTGACCTAGACAAATTGAAGACTTGGGCCAAAAGCAATCTTATGAGTTTCAACAAGGACAAGTGCAAAGTCCTGCACTTAGGATGGAAGGATTGATTGCATGTACCAGTACAGGCTGGGGGCTGACTGGCTGGGCAGTAGCTCTGCAGAAAAAGGACCTGGGGTTACAGTGGACAATAAGCTGAATATAAGCCAGCTGTGTGCCCTTGTTGCCAAGAAGGCTAATAGCATCCAGCGCTGCATTGGTAGGTGCGTTGCCAGTAGGTCCAGAAAAATGATTATTTCCCTCTATTCAGAACTGGTGAGGCCAGATCTGGAGTACTGTTCAGTTTTGGGCCCCCCACTACAGAAAGGATGTAGATAAATTGGAGAGAGTCCAGCAGAGGGCAATGAAAATGGTGAGAGGGCTGGGAGGCATGATTTATGAGGAGAGGCTGAGGAAATTGGGCTTCTTTAGTCTAGAGAAGAGAAGACTGAAAGGGGACTTAAAAGCAGCCTTCCACTACCTGAAATGGAGGTTCGAAAGAGGATGGAGCTAGACTGTGCTCAGTGATGGCAGAAGGACCAACGGTCTCAAGTTGCAGCAAGGGAAGTTTAGGTTAGATACTAGGAATAATGTTCTCACCAGGGCTGCGTCCAGACCAGCGCAGCTGTGCAGTATGTGGCGCCGCAGACATACCACACATTCAGCTGCTCTCTGCACTGCAAGGAAGCAGTGTGGGTTTGTTTGGTTATTTGTTTTTTTTACCCTTGGATCATCCTTTCTGTAGTGGGGGCCCCAAAACAGAACACAGCAGTCCAGATTTGACCTTGCCAGTGCTGAATAGAGGGAAATAATTACTTGTCTTACCTGTTGGCAAAACAGGATATCCAGGGGTCAAAAAAACCTGTGCTAATAAAAAGTGGAGTGGCGCACGCAGAGACAGTGCATGCTGTTCAAAACTGGAGCCTGGCCAGCCAGAGCCACACTTCAGCTGCTGGCCAGGCTATGAGTGGCAGGATCACCACTGCTGCAGCCCCAGAAGGCCCCCAGGACCCTGGGGAAGTCTGCTGGGGCCAGCCCAGTGCTGGCCCCAACCTCCTCTACTTCACCTGGGGTAACCTGCCACACACCAGAGGGTGCATGGCACAGGCATTCTCTGGGGACAGCTGGTAGAGGCACAAGGTGTCCTGCTACTAGTTGTCCCCAGGGAACAAAACGTCCATGCTTGTGTGGATGTAGCCTAGGAGGGTGGTAAAACACTGAAACAGGTTACCCAGAGAGGTTATGGACTTTCCATCCTTGGAGGTTTTTAAGACCTGGGTAGACAAAGCTTTTGCTGGGATGATCTAGTTGGGGCTTTTCCCTCTTTGAGCAGGGAGTTGGGTTAGATGACCTCCTGAGGTCCCATCCCACCCCAGTTTCCTATGATTCTGTGATATGACTTATTACCTAAACAGGTACTTTTGTGGCCTGCAAAGGTATATAGTTGCTATCAGGTTTGAAAACAGCATTTATAACCGTATGTTTTGTTTCAGTAGGTTTTTATTCATAATCCTCATGCCCGGGGCCAGCGATCGAATTTCAACCGTTTGATGCAGAGCAACCAGGATTCTGATATTTCGCTCCTGAACATTAACCAGGGGGTCAGCTGTCTAACATCAGGAGTGCTGAATCCCCAGCTTGGCTATGATTGTCTTCTTGTTGGAACACAGACTAATTTGTTGGCTTACGATGTATACAACAACTCAGATTTGTTTTACAGAGAGGCAAGTGAATTTCACATCATTGTTTTTTTTTGTATCCCTTAATCTTCCTTTTTTCCTTTTTCTGTTCTTGGATATATACCATTGTAGGAGGCATGAGACATCTAAGTTATTTTAGTTAATAGTTATGCTTTTGTTTCTTACACACATACGTATGCAGAAATAGTATACATGTAATCAAAATTTTATGGGCAGATGACTTAAGTGCTTTGAAAACCTGTGCAGTATTTTACAAGGAAAGTGAAGTGTTGTTGTGGTATGTGCATGTTAGTACTTTCTGATGCGTACTGTACCAGTTGCTAATCAAAAATTTTGAAAATACTGAAAGCTCACATAAAATTACATTTCCCCTAGTCAAAGATTTTTGTGGGTGATATCTTTTGTGAATGAACAGCATGGCTGGGAGAACGACAAGATATAGAACAAAAGGTATTCTTCATCAGGTGAAGGACCGTGATGAAGAATGCCTTGCAGTTGAAAGCTTGTCCAACTTTATTGCAATCATTCAGTAATTCTAATAAAAGATATCACCCACAAAAATATGTTCCTCTCGCATAAATCCTGGACCATCACTGCTATAACATCACCCCAACATTACCATTTCCACTAGAGCAGAGTTTATAAATTAGTCAAGTCTGATTGTTGGTGGGGGAAAGAGAGGAGTCAGGATGTCATCATGGAGTCAAATTGTAGGGA